TATATTTCACTGGGGTGTGTATGCTGCATTTAGCATGGCTTTTGTGTTAGACATCGTAGTCGACCACTTAGGATGGAGATGGGCTTACTGGATCACAGCAGTCCCAGGAATCATCATTGCAGTTGTCATGGTAATAACGGTCAAAGAACCACCAAGAAAGGTACACCATAGTTTATGTATTTTTGTATTAATATCAATGGTAATCTCGGTGTTAGTTCTTGTGACGGCGGTGGCTCAATCACTCTGCTCGTCATTCGGTGCTTGGGTGAGTAAATAAGAGGATCCTGTACATGCACGCATCGACTTATCACAAACATATTCTGATTTTCTTTTCAAAATGTTCCTATGGATTTATTCACTACTTACTTGTTATTGATGACAGTGTGCATTGTTTTAATTAGAATTTAGGAATTTATAAAACGAAAGAATAATACTTACATTTTCTGTAAGTTAAAGAAAATTAAAAGCCTACAAATGTATTGACTGAGTAAATTTTGAGCATTTTGAATGTCGGAAGCTCACTCTACATTTCACTCTTATGTAGCCCAATTCCAGGTGCACAGCTGAATTTCTATGCGAAACGGAAGAATAATATTTCCTAGACTAATACATTTAACAGATTGCAGGTGAACTTGTGAATAACTCCAGTGCTACGCAAGAGGATTTTCTTGATTCTCACAGTCCATTCTGCAGCCCACTGTTCATTGTACTACTTATCACCAGTGCATTGCGATGTGGCGGGGGATATGTATTTATGTATAATATCCACAACTATTTCCACCGTTATTATCCGGGTTATCCATATGAACATTTCATGACCTGGATCCCAGTTACCATGGGGATATTTGGAGCTCTTCTTGGTGGAATGTTAGCTGATAAAGCTGCCTATTATAGAGGATACATCGGTAGACTGTATATCTTTAGCATAAGTATTGTAAGTATGTTATATGGATTTTTAAAGATTTTCGTGGAAGGTGATTGGCGTTACTTTGCATGTCAGTCTTTGAGACAGGGGATTATCATCTCCGATTTACGTTTAGAAAGCACAAGATGTGCATGAGTGGCTACTGTGGTCCATTTTTTGGTATATTTTAATTTAGCGACATATTGCTAACCGACTCAATCATCTGTTATCTACTATCTACTTTTGATATTGCTTTTGTAGTTAATCTCTTGAAATTGTAATACATGTGCGGATCTCCCAGAATGTTGAGTGTGTTCTACTTCTAAGTTGTGTTTCACTTTCCACATTTAAAATAAAGTAGTAATAACAACATTTTCACACCAACTGTAGACATACGTCAACCAGACATAATTATATAACATATCAAGCAAGGGAACGCCTAAAACTACCAAAACTAAAATAACCATTTTCTATACGGTCGACGTTATGAAACTATTTTCTGATAAACCGTAAATATATACATGTAATATTAAAATATTAATAGTTGAACTTTTTTTTTTCAGTTCGTATCCATACCATTATCTATAGGAGTGTTGTACTTAGATCCACCATGGTGTTTTATCGTACTCATACCAAACTTTGCAGCTATAGAAATGTGGGGAAGTGTCGCTATGTCCGCGGTGGTCGAACAAGCCCCTAGAGGGCGCCAGACTTTAGCACTTGCCTTCTATGTGTTCTCTATAAATATGTTTGGAGGGAATTTAAATATAATAGTGCCTTTCATGAAATCTGTCATAGAACTACGTTATACGTTGCTGGTATTGTATCCAGGTGTTTATACATTAGCACTTATATTCTGTCTATTGACCATCCCCTTAGCAAGAATTAGAATGGCACATATGCAAACGCTTGCCACAGATGATGAACGAAAACCTTTGTTAAATGAAGCAACTGAAAGCATTAACTAGTGCTAACCATGTATAACTTTAAGAAAATTTACTTAACCAAATAATAGAGAACGACGAGTATAATTATCAAATATTGATACAAATATATATATTAACATACACAGTATAAAATCATTGAACATCATAGACTAAATGTACACTCACTGTTGATGATGGTACAGACATTGTTCGTATGTCACTGTCACGCGGGAATCCGTATTGCAATTAGACTTGAAAATTAGTGTATGTAGCGTATGCAGGAGCTGGTGCATGTTGTGTTTAATTTATTCAAAATTATTTTGTTGTGTTTGCATGGTGTGGTCGGAGGACATGTCACTCTGACTGAGGATGCCGCAGTAGCAGAACTGGCCTTTAGTCGTCTGTGTGCAAACTGAGAGACGAGCCAACACGTTTACCACGGGGCGCCTGAGACACATACGTCTTGGTATAACCTGGGGCCTACATTGTAGGGAAATTAATTCCATTACTTCTGGCGGAAAACCGTCCAGGGTTGTGAACCCGGTGTTTTTGGGGAGCCAGCGTTTTACAGGAGGAAAAGTTTTACAGACTCAGCAAGATGTGCTCTAGGGGCTCGTCCGTATAGAGTAACATTGACCATTGTGAGTACAACATTCTTGTATTTACAATGAAGCACACGTTTGTTTGTGTTTAAATAGAATAGTGGCGTACGTATATCTATGCAGAACTTGTATGCAGTACTGAGATAATGCATATTATCGTATCATTGTGTACTTTTATTGAATATTGTCACTTATTGTATTGTACTACATACAGTGAAGTTGGAACCGGATTACCAATCCTGTACATATTGGTCGCATGTAACCTCTGTCATCAAATGGTACTGACTTCTTGTTTGCTTTATTTGTATGTACTTAAGTTGTCCCAGTCAAGGTGGCAAACCAAACGCTAATTATTATTAAATCTTTATGGCAGGATATAAAGTGAAAAGTTCGTACATCCATATTTAAAACAAAATACAATGAATAAAAACAAACAAAGTGAAAAAAAAAAACGAGTATATAAAAAGACTTGACTAATAATTAAATTCATTGTTCTAGTGTTAGCTGGTGTATACATAAGTTTACGGTACAGAACATACAACTTCGAACATAAATGCGTGTATTATGATAAAAGCACTGCAACGATTCTATTATCACTTTTAGTTAGACGCGTATAGAGTGTAAAAAGCATGTTTCGTCTAAGAGCATCAAATGTGGGAATGTTGGGAGGAAACAAACATGCCGCTAGCACTACAGTCCCTGAGCCGACCAAGGAATAAACGAAATGCACTATTATACGCAACACGGAGATCATAAATACATGTACTTGTACGACTATGTTGAAACAAAAGCTGTGAACAATAAATTACGACAAAAAGTTCGGAACAATGTCATTTTTAAATTACTACTGCGGCTAGACAATTTTCGTAGCAATATATTGGCTGTCCCGTAGAATTATCGAATCTGTCGTTTTATGTCCTCATCATCCATGCAATTATCAGCAACGACAAATCCTAAATAAACGTGCTTGTGCACAATGTGTAGTTGTAGCCAAGATATACTTAAGAACACTCTTCCGTGGAATAAAGTACATGCATTCAGACTTGTTAGGATGGTAAATAATATCGAAGACCGACCCATATTTATAACAAACATTAACAAGGATTCGCAAACCAAGGATGGACGGGCTAAGGATAATCAAGTCTTCGGCTAACATCAGATGGTTGATAAAATCCCCGCCCACACAACAGCTCAATTTAGATGACTGTAAACGGGAACTGAGGTCATCTATATACACGTTGAAAAGTAAAGGCGAAATAAATGCTACCTTGCCGAATGCAGTTTTCAACAGAAAAAGAAGAATTTTCCCATCGAACAGAGAACAGCTGAGTACGATACCAAACAAACAAAATTCAAATAATATAACCAGGTAGACTCCTGTCAATCAACTTTTTAAACAGGAACCAATGGTTGACACGGTCTTAAAAGCCCGCATACACAGGGCTATTTTACGAATGAAAATAGTTAATAATTTCTTTCATAGCATAAATACACTTGTTCGTATAGCGACCAGGTTTAAACCCAAATTGAGCATCATTCGTGTTCAGGAAACCACGAATTCTGTTTAAGATAATAGTTTCTAAAAATAGTTTTCATAAAATCCCCAGGAAGAAAACCGTGGATCGGCATCGAATTAAAAACAAGCGCGAGCATCAAGTAAAGTTTATCGCTACAATGTTTATAGTGTTCTGCAGCGATGCCATCATCACCAGCAGATTTATCAATGCGCAATTTGTTAACAGCCTTCGAGATATGCGAGATACCAATATAAGACATATCACAGGGAATCCAGCTTCTCACAAATCTTTCATCGCGATTACTCTTCACTGAACTTAATAATTAGTCCATGAAGCAAGTGACTTTTCTTTACCATTCGGGGTGGCAAAAGCTATATATATCAAATTAAAGCTTATTTTGTGTAGATTCCAAAAATATATGATAGCAATATATTTTAATGTTGTCATGGTAGCTTAAAGTTGTCACGTGACCTCAACGTTCGCGTAGTATGCATAATGAGATTGGTCATTGGTTGAAAGTATAATGTGAATTTCTGTCTAAATACTGCAAGAAATAATACTTTCATGGACTCAATCTATGATAGGAGAGATGTTTTTGCATGTTAAGTCGAACGCATCACACATGATTCGAAGATTGTACGTAATAGTGACGTCATTTCTGCCCACAGTTAAAAAATATATATTCAAAACAAATTTTTCTCGAATTTGCTTATGATTTTCTTTTTTCTAATAAACAACTGCTGATTAAGATTTTTTAATACATAACTAATAAACTATTGCAATGAGAAAATAACAGAAATATGCTGTCCAACTGCATTGCATTAATTGTATTGTACGAAACGGAAGTTCTAATGGCATACTTTGGTTTCATGAAAGTTGCGCCTATAATTAAGAATGTACAACTTTTCATTGTACATAATAGACTTGTACACATATTTTTATTATGAGCCAGTAAAAGAAAAAAAAAAAAACTTTTCTACTTACAGCTATATCTAATTACAAAAATCGACGTTTCAGTAAATGAATCGATGTGTTTCTTCTACTGCAGCTTTGTAATCATTAAATTTGAAGGTCATGGCTCAATTCCCTTTGCTCACGTACAGTAACTTCATACACAACAAGTTATGGTTGTCTCAGTCAATATAAATCTCATCATCATCGTCTAGATCTACCTCCAAATCCTCTTCCTCATCAGGTTGATTAGAGCAGGTTGTTAGGCGGCAGAGGTCAGAGCACTTCAATCCATTTTTGATACAGTCACAAGAATCACTATCACAGGACTTTTTGCACATGCATGACATCAGCTCTATTACAGCTCTCGGTGTTGGAAGTCCAGTCATCCAGTCCAGTTTACTACAATTCTTTCACCAGCTCCGTCATGCTCCAGAGCCCAGCCTTTACCAACTGTAGTTGGTACTTCGGCAGTTGATGCTTACTCCTTTCTTGGTACAAAATACACCATATCAAACACCTTTCTTTGAACCATACAAAGCACGAACGAAGGCTTCTAAGTGACGTAAAAGCTCCTCCGACAACTTCCACTCTTTCCCAAGCTTCTGGAACATGCTCTGATACTCTTTCTTGTTTCGCATTATCGTTAGAGGCTTCAACTTTCCAATGGCCAGCAAAAGCGCTGACTGTGTCACACCCAGTAAAGGCGTATAATCCTGGTAAGGCTTCACACATGTCCTGTCCAATTGCATTAGCAATTTTGTGTATGTCTATATACCGTGCATGTAGTTGTGAAACACTATGCTTATAGATAGGTATGTTGATGGAAAACGAAAATGCAAGACAAAGGACTCTGACATCAGTGTCTTCTGTGGAAATGATGATAACACTGAACCGTTGCTCTTTTGCAGCATGCTCAGCATGAAAGAGGAGTCGAGTGTCAGCCTCTTTTTGTTCTGAGTTTAGTTCTTCAATTTCTATGACTTTTTTGTCAGCTTGTAACAACTTTTCCCACATGTTGCATACAGCTCCTTATCCCGCAGTTTTTCACGATTGCATGCTTACCTCCAGTGGTCAACAACAAATCTTACAAGACTGTTCTTGTTTTCGCCATTGCGCAGAAAGCTTCGGAACTGCTCACATTCTGGCCAGCTGCAAGATTCTTGAAGGTGATGGCATCTCTCTCACCTCTAACTATCAATTGACTGAATGAACTGTTCTCTGTACACATCAAACACAACATCTATTCTAGAACTACTTTCTCCTTCACGCAAAACTCTAGATACGATCATGTCTGCAATCTCATCAAATGAAAGATAGTCAACCTTCAGCTTCTGGACCAGTGTCATGCCATAAATACAGTAGGTTTCGGAACTTCAACTGTCGGCTGAACCAACTTTTCCAATTCTCTTCCAAGTTGTGCGTTGTTGGTTTTGCGGGGAAAACCATTGCTGCAAGCCAGTGATGTAGGAAGAGGACCTAGCGGATGCTTCAAAACATCTTGCATCTGTAAATCCTAACTTTCAGCTATTATAATCATTCTTGCAAACATATTTCGATCTGAACAGAGAACAGTCTCCGTGCCTTTGTCTTGATTACTGTCTTTGTCTTCGACAAATGGCTGAAGGTTTTCAGCTTTTGTTTCATTAACGTGTCATGCAACTTGACTTTTGCTGGCTCTGATTCCAGACGGTTCCTCTTGAACTTATGATAGGCTGCATCACCAACAAGATATGCACATTTAAGGTTATGTGCAATGTCTGCTGAGGCCATAGCCCCAGTAGAGATACTTGACAGCTGCATATGCCCAGCAAATGGATATGTCCAGTTCTTGACGAGTTCTACCATTGTGGCAACATCTTTCTCATCTCTAGCAATACGAGTTGACTGGAGATCAGCATGACCTTTATTACCTTTGGCACAGCCTATAATTTCACGCAAATTACCAAGAAACAAAGCCCTGAACTCGGCT